ATCACTCACTTACTTCATGCTCTATAAATCATCTTTGTGACTTAATTAAGAGCAAACTGTGTATATTGGAATGGAAACGTGAAAGAGACTTAGAAAACTTTGAAAAGATACAAGTATCTTTTCTTTTAAGATACTAAAAGTATTAGGAAGTTTGACATCCTCTTGGTGGAGCAGCAGTTAAAGCCCTAAGCTGCTAACCAAAAGGTCAGCAATTCACCTCCACTAGCCAGTTCATGGGGGAAGGATGTGGAAGTCTGTATCTATAAAAGGTTTACAGCGTTGGCACCCTTATAGGTAATTCTACTCTGTCTTATAGGGCTGCTGTGAATTGGAATCGACTCAACAACATATGGGCTTTGGATTAAGTCTACATCTTATCACTGTAGATAGAATGGGTTGGCACTCAGCATCTATTCCTTTTCCTTAGGGTTGCTTATTTGTACTACAGAGAATGATAATTATGAAAACATATTTCCTAGGAACACCAAAGACAAAGTTTCATAAGTGATTACTGAGATATGGAAAAGAACAAGGAAACACTGAATCGTCTAAAAATAGGAAAGGTGTGTGTGAGGGTTGCATTCTTTCACCACACTTATTCAACATGTATATGGAGCAAATAATCTGAGAAGCTGGATTACATAAAGAAAAACATGGCATCAGGAATAGAAGAATCATTATCTGTGATATTCAGATAATACAACCTTTCTTGCTGAAAGCAAAGAAGACTTAAAATACTTACTGATGAAGACAAGAGACCACAGCATTTGGTATGGGTTGTACCTCAATGTAAACAAAACAAAAAGTCTTACCACTGGACCCATAAACAATGTCCATATAAATGGAGAAAGATTGTATTAATAAAAACTTCACTTTAGTTGGATCAACCATCAACACTTATGGAAGCAGCAGTCAAGAAATCAAATGATTTAGGTAAATCTGCTGCATGAGACCTCTTTGAAGTGTCGAAGAGCAAATATGTCAGTTTGAGAACTAAAGTATACCTACCCAAACTACTGTATTTTCAATAACCTCATATGCATACTAAAGTTGGGCAGTGAATAAGGAAGACCATAGAAGAATTGATGTATTTGGGTTAAGGTGTTGGAGGAGAATATTAAAAGTAGCACTGACTACCAAAAGAACAAACCAATCTGTGTTGGAAGAAATATAAACAGAATGCTCTTGAAAGTTAGGATCGCCAGACTTCGTCTATCATACTTCAGACATGCTATTAGGAGGGACCAGTCCCTGGAGAAGGATATCATGTTTGGTAAAGTTGTGGTAGGAGAAAAAAAGGAGGATCTCCAATTTGATGGATTGGCACAGTGGTGGCAGCAACAGGTTCAGGTGTGACAATGAAGTGAGGTTGACATGGGGGCCAGGCAGTGTTTTGTTCTTTTGTGCATAGGGTTACTTTGAGTCAATGCCAAGTCAATGACATCTAACAACTACAACAACAACAAGATATGGGCTAGATGTACAGAAGAAAATCAGAGGGCAAAAGTGAGACAGGTGCTCTCTTCTAATCAACTGTATGACCAAGAATAGTTGCAGAACATTGGGCTAATTATAATAAATCAAGGTAAAACTTTAGGTAAGTAGTGAAAAGTGTATCTAGAAGTGATGTGCACCCTTTGTTAAACAATTGCAGATCTAACTGACATAGTGAGTGTTGAATGAACAATTATAGCAAAATATTACTACTATGTGGGTTGTAGAAAATGTGTCATGTTTATGGAGCCAATAATTTCAGTCATGTCTTCATGATTTCACCTCCTTCCTGATGACAGAAAAGGTATCAGTGTTCCTAGATTATTCCTGATATTCTGAGAGTCAGTCTCAATATTTGAAGAAACATACAATCAGCTCATTTTACAATTTAATAAGTACTTGCTAACAAAGTTTCAGCTTAAAATACTTAATAAAACTTCAATTTAAAGGAAATAACTCAGAGAGATCAAATACTATATGCCAGAACTGATCACAAGAAACAGATTAAAATAGGTTCTGGAAATTGTTATTTCAATTTTTGTATTTGAGGAAAATAATGATGCTGTTCTGATAGGAAAATTCTACACTGACACTCCAAAGAATGTCTTGGACGATCTGTCATACTGAATCATCTGCAATTAATATGAAGAAATTGCAAGTAAGAAATGTTGAAGCAAAGATTTTGTTAAAATTTTTTTTTTGTAGAAATAAATGGAAAAGAATCAATTACAACATAAATTGAAGGAGATTGAATTCTGGAAATAATGCAGAGTTATAAGCTGATGAAAGTCTGATTTAAGTTTTCATGCTTTTGAGCTATTTTGCTCATAGATAACTCTCTACTCTCAAAGGGAAAAAAATCTGTTATGTAGAGAATTTTATTCAGTTGAAAAGTTTTCGTAGGCCCTGCTTTATATCCTTATTTCTAAGACTGTAGATAAAAGGGTTCAGCATGGGGGTGACAACAGTGTACATCACTGAGGCTATTGCAGTGGCCCTAGAGGTTTGGGTAGCAGCAGAACTAAGATAAACTCCAAGACCTGTACCATAGAACAAGGAAATGACTGAGAGGTGAGACCCACAAGTGGAAAAGGCTTTAGACTTGCCTTCAGCTGATGAAATTTTCATAATGGAGGACACAATCTTACTGTAAGAGAAAAGGATACCAATAAGTGGAATAACACCCAGAAGTCCAGTTGCGAAATACATCACTAAGTCAATGATGATGGTGTTAGAACAAGCAAGTTGGATTACCTGATTAAGCTCACAGAAAAAGTGGGAGATTTCTAATTCTGCACAAAAAGACAGTTGCAAAATCATTAAGACATGCAATAGTGAGTCCAGAACAAGTAATAACCAGGATGCCAAAATGAGGAGGCAACAGAACTTGGGGTTCATGATGATCGTGTAGTGCAGAGGGTGACAGATGGCAACAAATCGGTCATAAGCCATCACTGTCAAAAGAAAATTGTCTAATCCTGCAAAAACCATGAAAAAATATATCTGGGTAATGCAATCTTCATATGTAATAACTTTATTCTGCATCTGAATGTTCAGCAGCATCTTTGGGACAATGGTAGAGGTGAAGCAAATGTCTGAGAAAGAAAGGTTAGAGAGGAAAAAGTACATGGGTGTGTGGAGGTGGGAGTCCATGATGATGGCCATGATGATGAGCAGGTTTCCGATGAATGTAACTAGGTACATGGAGAGGAACAGTCCAAAGAGGAGGGGCTGCAGCTCTGCCTCTTCTGAGAGCCCCAGTAGGATAAATTGAGAAATACGTGTTTGGTTTCCTGGTTTCATGTAGCTGATGAAACTACTAGTAAAGAGGAAAGAACAATACAAACTTAGTCATAATTAACAAAAATGTGACAGATGTGCTGTTTTTATATTTTAAATATCTTTAATTCCTATATAATATCAAGAGTCTTAGATAAGAAAAGCACTGAACTGCTAACCACAAAGTTGGCGGTTCAAACCCACCTGCTGCTCCTTGGAAACCCTTTACAGGGTTGATATGAGTCAGAAGTGATTCAATGGCCCTTAACAATATCTATATAGATCTCTTAAGATGAGAATTTCATGGAATCCTAAATGGTCTATCTTCTCCTTGATGTTTAAACTAACTAGCCTTCCTTACTTCTAAACCCTAACATTTTGCTAACACAAACTATTTCTCTATGAATTCCGTGAAACTGTTTAGCTCATTCAACAAATATTTTCTATTATTTTATGCCAAATCTCCTTGACCCAACTTGTCTGTCAGTTTGTTATATTGTGGTGACTTGCGTGTTGTTATGATACTGGAAGTTATACCACCAATGTTTCAAATACCAGCAGAATCACAAATGTTGAACAGGTTTCAATTGAGATTCCACACTAAGAACAAACAAGAAGGAACAGGTGGACGAGTTCTGAAAAAATTAGTCACATAAAACCTTATGAATAACATTGGAACATTGTCTGATAAAGTGCCAGAAGATAAGCCTCTATGCTCATGGAAGTTGTTGTTGTTGTTAAGTGCCGTCGAGTCGGTTCCGACTCATAGCGACCCTGTACAGTGTTTCCGAGGGTGTAAATCTTTACGGGAGTAGAAAGCCTCATCTTTCTCCCGTGGAGCAGCTGGTAGTTTCGAACCACTGACCTTAAGGTTCGTAGCCCGATTCGTAACCACTACGCTACCAGAGCTCCTTATAAGATGATGCAATATGGGTTTCAGAG